GGCCTAGCTATATGTGCGCCAGGCGCGTCGCAGCGTAACAGTGTTTCGTGAGATATCGCGAAGCCTGTTACGCGAGACGTGGTCTGGCGTACATAAAGCTAGTTCTAAAGCTTAGCCTAAATGTAAGACTACTACGCAGGGGTTTTGGGGGACGCTGCATCGATTCCCGACATCCGTTTGCACCTCGCCCTCGCAGGTCATCCTAGGGGTTTCGCCGGGAACCTCGCGGGGTCCACGGTGACGCCCCTTTTGATAATTGGTGCATGACGATTTTTGGTGGCGCTGAATTGATCTATATCGTCCGTTCGCACCTTGAGGATGATCCTCAGGCCGTTATCCGGCACCCGAAACCACCATGCACCTCCCTGTCGGGGGTCAGTTTGGATCGTGCACACCTTCCATTGAGAAGCGGGACGATCCAGACACCGCCTCTTCTCCTCTACACATAACAAAAACACTTCTGAACGCTAAAATTAGTGCCGCTCCAGCTAATCCAAGAACTAGTCGTGACTATTAATCAAGTTTTGCTCCTACAAGTAACCATTTTTTCTCTCAGAGGAGAGCGTGCTATTAGCCCGAAACGACATAACGCCCTGGCCACAGTAACAAATTATACATGCGAGTGCTGCAAAATCTACATTAGCTCTTAGAGCTAATATACCAATGCAGGCACAGGAAAAGGTCGACTTTCTCCGAAAGCAATGACCATATCCCATCGGGCGAAGAGTATTAGCTGTAGAAGCTTAAACTATTAGCTATCCCAAATCTAGCGAACAAATTAGCTCTGAGAGCTAAACTTTAGCTAAGCCAGCAAATCATTTTTTTGCGTGTAGTGGATGAAATATTCTTACAAATGTTGAACACACAAAACACACATACTTCAATTGATATTTTAAGTTTTTGGCTTCTGAAGGCCGATAAAGTTGAGGCTTATTTTGGGCGCCTCGTAACCACAAAGTCGCGCGCGCAAAAACAATACTTTTGTCAATTCATGTTTCGAAGATAACACGCATTTAAGGTAAAATCACACCGGCTTTAGGTATTTGGGGTTTAGTCTAAGCATCCCTCATGTGTGTATTTGTGTTATTAGTTCAGTAAAAAATTGATTTGTGACGCTCTTTTTCCGATTTAGCCGCACTGTGCGCAGGGGTCCGTAACTTAACATATAAGGACCTCATAACGTTTTGTTAACCGTTGGTGTTGTACCCGATAACTGATAACGCCTACTATGGCACTTAACAGATAGGTAAATAACAGAAAACTTATGTTTAAAAAAATAACCGTTATGGATTTATCAAATATTACTTTGATAACGATACCACAGAGTGAAAACCGCTCAGTCTACCGATGCGCTACGACAACCGCTTAGTCTGCCGAGCGGTTTGGACAACCGCTCACTCCGCGGAGCCGCTCCGACAACCACTCAGTCAGCCGACCCGACTCAACAACCGCTCAAATGACTTTTTTGACGAAACAAATGGATTGCACCATCAAAAAGAGCAGTTCTAGTTAGTCGGAATCGGTCAAAACATGAAAAGTGTCAAAAAAGTCATTTGAGCGGTTGATGAGGCGGGTCGACTGACTGAGCGGTTGTCGGAGCGGCGCCGCGGAAAGAGTGGTTGTCCAAACCGCTCGGCAGACTAAGCGGTTGTCGTAGTGCTCTGGCAGACTGAGCGGTTTTCGCTCTGAGGTATCGATAAGTGTTTAAGTGTTATGTTCTATTTCATGCCTGTGCGATATTAGTCACTAAATAAAGGGAAGTCGCTTTTAACGTTAAATAAATTGGTTACATTTATAACGTTAAGGTAATAAAAAATTACTTATTAGTTAGGTATCTAACTTAACTTAAAGTTTTATTTGCGACTTAGTTATATTATTTAACAAACCGATCATGTTCGTTATGTTAAGTTACGGATCCCTGACTGTGCGGTGTCACATGTTGTAATATTGGTGGCCTGCTTTGACGTGAATTTGACATCATATTAAAATAACGTCAAATCAGGCCACATAAATGACAAAATGTTGACACTGACATCACCTGATGTCATTTTGTCAGTCTGTAAGCACGATAGTTCCATAACGGATTGATATAGATACCTGAAGATGGTAAAGACCAAGAATAAAGTTAGGATGGCACTTATTCTTCTTGTAGAAATAGTCGATAGGACTGTATTAAAGCTAGAGGGGTAGTGTTTTCGTCTTATTTTAATCAATTCTACAAAAACATCAAAGCACACGTGCGCAAGGCTATTTTCATCACGCAAAAAACCTTTTATGCCCCAAATACCAGCTCCATTTTGAACGCCAAGAGCGGCCAACATTAAATCCCAGTCGAACGACATGTTTCCTCCCGTGTATGTTGTCTGTAACATTTTAAAGAAACTATTTTAGAAGTAACATTATGTTGGGTAGGTTGGGCCGAAATAACACTTTTGTCCGTCACGAAAACGCCTGGGTGCGGAAAATTGTCCCTGACCAATTCGAAACTCAACGCACTTTGAAATTTTGAAATCGGATAAAATCTTCTGCCTGTTCTTTGAGCGCAAAGTTTAGCATTAGCTCCTGATGGGTAAATCGGTCAAATATCAACATTTTTGTCTAGGACTAGAAAAGAAAATTGTTGAATAAAACTGACTTGAGATTAGTGATCTACGCCAAAAACCGAATCCGATGACATACAGTATGCCAAAATTTGTTGTCATTTTCGAGAATTTTTCCATTTATAAATATGCCAAATTTTAGAGAAGAAGCGAGAATTTACGAGATACTTTTGACGATGTGAGATGACTTAGATACACTTGCGGTATGTCATTTACTTCGGATTTTTGCGTAGATCGCGTTTCTGCACTCAGTTTCAATCTTCGAAAAATCGTTTGGAACACAGATAAAATTTTTAGTATTTGACCGAATTCCCCATAAGAAGCTAATGTTAAACTTTGCGCTCAAAGAACAGGCAGAAGATATTATCCGATTTCAAAATTTCAAAGTGCGTTGAGTTTCGAATTGGTCAAGGACAATTTTCCGCACCCAGGCGTTTTCGTGACGGACAAAAGTGTTATTTCGGCCCAACCTAATGTTGGGTCAAAATTTTTCAACTCAGCACTCGTTCGAGCGGACTCAAACTGAAATCCACACGATTCCTGTGGGTTGTAGGATTAGTGTTGGGCTTCAAAACGAGCCCAAGCGCAGGTCTGTAGCTCAAACGGTTCAAAAGTTATGGGGCTTCAAAGTTTTAGCAATTTTAAGAAATCTTGTAAACTAATAAAATCTATTAAAATCGAGGATCCTAAAGTATTCAAGGTAGCAGGAT